CATTATATGCTTTAGAATCTCCTTAAATTACCCTGGCACTGCTGTAGCAATCATTAACATTTTAGCTTTATCATGCTGAACTCTTTAAGAATTGACAAAAGCAGCAGTAAGTGGAAGAGAAATAATTCAGACAGAAAGGACTTGGAAAAAAGTTTGGAATCAAAATCCTGGATGAGAATACCACCCCACACACACACACAAGCATTGGCTCTGTATCTCAACTCCCCATCTTGTGCCCAAGTCTATTCATTAGCAGTCTCTTTTTAAAAGCCTGTGCCCGAGAGAACTGATGTGTTATGAGACAGTTATGACCCTAAGTAAACTCCAAACAAATCATTCATCACTGCAAAACTCCAGAACAAGCTGGTACTTTCTCAGAGAACAGTGTTCTTCTAAATACACACTATACATGAAGGGGAAATAGAAAGCACATACTGTAGGCTTTCATCAATTGCACACAAACAAAGCCTTTTGATAACTCTCTGAATAAGCTTGAGATCATTACGCCTGGGGCCAAGAGGCTCTCATTAGTTTAAGATCTCATTTTCCAAAGTTTTGGTCAAAAAAGTCTTTTTAAGTGCAGGGGAGAAAGGAACACTTTTTCTTCAAACATAGTTATGTTCACAGAACTCCTACTCAAATTCTTACATGGATTTTTCCTTACCAAATTAAAACTTCACAACTTCAATGTCTGGAGCAGGAGGTGCTCACCCACATCAACAGCTGGAATTTCTGTTACCCATCCTTCCCTTTCACTGCCCACATTATTCCTGGAAGAGTTGGCCTTTTCCAGTTCTCTGCTTCTTTCTTAACTTCCTGTCATTCAAATCTGCCAAACATGCTCTGCTAAATTTTGTCCTTTTTTTGTTTGCCTTGTTAAATAATCTACTTCAAGGCATGAAACAATTCTCATGCAGATCCAGGAAGGTAACTAGAGGCCTGAGGAAAGGCCCACTACTGGTTTACGTTCTGCGGCTCACACCACAATGCAGCTGATGCCATGCTTTTGGTTTAGAGGCACACTGATATGCAAGAACCATGCAGAGGGTTTTGAGCAACCAGCTTGATCTCGTCACTATTTTCCTCTCCCTTTGAAAGGAAGCCCTAATTCAGTCTGAACTACTAAGGACTCAAATCTACCTTATTGTTTAATGTGGTGTTCCTGTTTTAGCTACTTTAGCAACTTTAGATAATAAAGTAAAAAAAAACCATTATGCATTCAATTTAGTATCACATTCTCTATAAAAGTCATGAGAAACAATCACTTCATCAAGGTAGTTGGACTTTTGGCTCCTACATTACTACCTCAGGCCCAAAGGTTTCTCTTTCTTTGGAAGTGTTATGTAATAACTGGCAAGCAACAGAAACATACTTAGCATTGTGTTATCCAGTAATTCACATTTGCAGCTGCCCAAAAAATTACAGCCCTCAGATAAAACCTCACCAATTTAAATGAGTTTTCTCTGAGTAGGGAATATTAAAATCCCTTTGAGTGATAGGGAGATCAACACAAGCCTTTACAGGTATTAAAATACAGTCTAGTCCCCAGGGTATACAAATGCTACCTGCTGTTGAATGAAAGAGCACAATTTTCAGACTCTGGATGAAATACTGTTGAATTTAAGCTGGTATTTTCCTACATATATTCAACAGAAAGGGGTCACTTTTTTGCTGATCAGATAACCATTTCAGCATTCCAATGTCTGTAAGAGGGTTTTAACAGGACATGCTTTTTATTTAAAAAAAAAAAAAAATTCAATCAAATCCCTTTCCCTGCCTCTGATTCTCTGTTTTGTAACATAAAAATTTAATTTAGCCCCTTACAGAAAGCATCAGCTGTTCATTTGTGAGACAGGCCAAGAGGACATCATAAGTTTTTGCAACCAGATCTTTGTTTCTGTCTAGTCAAGGGGTAGCTAAAGATGGAATCACATAAAACAGGACCAGTGGGGACTGGTGGGGTCATGTATGCCACCTCCTAATCCGTAGGTGGAAGTAGCTTTGCCCAAAAAACTCTTAGCAGCTATTTCTCTGACTTATTCTTAGGAGACTCTGTTAATGAGTCCTCATAATGCATCCATGAAATTATTAGAAAGTTACTTTTATATCTAACATACATTTCTAGTTTTCAGACTTGAAACATCTAGTATATTACTAAATCTATTAGTGTATAAATTCACATTTGTTTTACTTACTCCTGATAGCAACTACTCTTTCTGCAAAAGTAGTTGAATAGTGTCATTTAAAAGAGTTGCCATATGCTACAGCCCTATGATATCACAACACTCACTTTAGTTTTTATAGGGGGGTTTTTGTTTGTTTTGTGGGTTGGTTTTGGTGTGGTCCTTTTTCTTCCCCCTCCTAGAACTGAAACAAAAGTTCTAATTCATTCCCCATAAGAAAGTTCTAATTTTAGGCACTTTGGAGAGGAAGATCCTAGAAAGGAGGTAACATCCTGGAACTTAGAACAACAGGAGTACTTTGCGGTGCCTAAAATTGCGGCAAGTCAATTGAGCCACAGAATATCACTTCCAAACTAATATTTTCTCTTTTCGGTGATACTTTAAGGCAAAAAAAACAAAACAAAACAAAAAACCAACCAGTTTTCAATGTACTCAATCATTTCTGTCAAGTTATCTAGACTGTCTAACAAAATCTAATTGACAATGGGAGGTACCTACAACAGGCTCCATTAAGTTTAGAGCTGTAAAACAGACTTCTCCCTGGACATCAGTTTAACAAGATTATGATGTAGAAAGATATTGTACCTTTCTGTGTGAAGTGCAAGGCTTTTCAACCTAACAAATTATTTTTTATTCTTCTTAGTTAATGCACAGTGAGATTTTTCTAATCACTGTTCTTGAGGGAAGGGAAGAAAATTTAATTAATATATAGACATTTCCAAGTAAGTAGCTAGCACCTCTTTTTTAATTCAAATCAAGAAGTGTTCTAATTAAGATGAGATAACAAATTCATCTTCCTAGTGCTCTTCCCCATCAGAGTTTTGTAACTGTAAGTACATAACAACATATATTTATATGGAAAAGAGATCTAAAACATTCTCAAAATGTGTAGCAAGTAAGATTGGTTTCTGTACACAAAAGCAGAAGAGCAAATCTTGCATTTTTCATAGAATCATAGAATGGCCTAGGCTGGAAGAGACCTTAGAGATCATCTAATCCAACCTCCCTGTCATGGGCAGGGACGCCTCTCAACTAGATCAGGCTACTCAAGGCTCCATCCAACTTGGCCTTGAACACCTCCAGGGAGGGGGCAGCCATAACATCTCTGGGCAATTTATTCCAAAGTCTTGTCACCCTCATACTGAATTTTTCTACTACTTCAAATTACAAATAAATTGCCTTTCAAAGTTTTTCTTCTTACTTGACTAATTCCCAAAAACCCTTGCTATCAACACAGTCCATCATAGATCTACACTGCTACATTTGTTTGGGGTTTTTTTGTTTGGTTGTTTGTTGAGGGGGCAGAGGGGGAAGGGAGAGAGGTGCTGTGTCTTTTGTATTTTAAGAGGAGCGGGAAGGGATGAGGAACAGTCCTTAATCTAACTGAAGCCAAACTACAGGATCAGTCTGGAAAGTTTTGAATATTAGATTCTCCTTAGTGAATATTTTTAAGATAAAATGAACCATCTAAGAACTGTGAACATTATTAAAAGGTAAACAAAAAATACATTTTCAGAGAAGAAAAACCAAAACATTTTGAATGCAATAAAACTGATCTGATTTTTCTAATACAACTAATAATTAAGTTTTCTTAATGTACATTCTTTGTTTAGGTTTTTTTCCCTAGATCCAAGTCATTTCAGATTTATTTTTTTCTTAGATCAAACTCTGATCACATACTGACCTGCCCAGATATGATTCAGGTTCAGTAGAGCATAACTCCACAGAGCTCAAGTCGCATATTTTCCAGATAAAATAGTTGTAGTTCACTTCTGGTTTTGCCAAGCCTTCTTTGGTGCACAACAATATCTTAATGCTTATCAATAACATCATTTTTTTCTGGCTGCAATAGTGGTTACTCATACTGATAAATGTTAAATACTAATTTATCTATGTATCTTGCAATCTGTTCATAACTTAGTAGAAAAACCAACTTCCAAAGATATTTATGTACCTAAGGATGCCAATAGGAAGGACTAGAACTCAGAAAGAATCAGCTTATGTTATAATTTGCGAGCATTTGGGCACCCTGAAGATCCCACAACTTGCAGCTAAGTGCATTGGAAAGTCTACCTCCTGTCATAAAAGCCACTTCTGTGTCAGCTGGTATGGATGGGTTCTATAGGTAGAAAGCAGTAGGCCAAAGAGGAGGAAAAATACATGCTGAGAAGCACATGAAAATCTCCCCAGAACTGCTATGGAGACTAGAGGACCTGCTGAAACCATGAGAACTGATAAAAATCAGACCAAGAATCAGCTGAACCTGCAGAAGGCCACCAGCACACACAGCATCCCTAAGAAGGTATGTAACTTGGGAGTAGTGCCTACTATATGTAGACAAAAAACTATAGGATCATAAGCACACATGATCAACCAAAAGACCTCCTGCATACTTCCTGAATACCAATCCAAAGTCACTGGTGCACTAGCGCAGCTTTCTGCGTACTAGTAAAACAAGTGCAATTGGGTCCCAGCTGCTGCTCAAACCAAGTATTATAAAGCAAGAGTGAGAGAGAACTGTGTGAGAGAATAACTGCATATATTGTATGAAGAGCTATGTGCTATTTAAAACAACAGCTTAGTTCTATGTTTATAACAGCTAAGTTAACAAAAGGTGTTCTAATTAATACTGGCTGTGATCTGTGTCTCTCCCATCTCAATGCCCTATCGGGGAAAAAGGAATTTATGGCACACCTTGTTCTGGTGCTCACTATATGAATGGCACTACTTCTGCCCAACAGGTGCAAGTAGTGTTAGTATGCCCATGCAAGTTTCAATGGGAAGAAAAGAAACATTTTGTTATTTTCAAGTACTTACCTGGTAGGGATATAGAGTGACACCATTCGTTCTTGACAAAGACCAGCTGCCGTCAAGGTACTGATGAGCCTGAATAGCCACAGAGTTGAGAACGTTGCCATTGCTGGGGCTGGTGGCCATTTGAAAGCTGACCTTGGCTTGGTGTCCAGGAGAGCCATTTTTCTTCTCCACCCCATTGACAATTCCTAGACTGTTGGGTTTTCCACTGTGTTTGTTGGCAACAAAGCCTGTATAATTAGATGTTGCATAAGGAGCCGGCACATATGCCCAGTCCCTGGGCTGCAGGCTGCCCATGTGACGGGGACTCACTAACGTGGGGACACTGGAGAGAGGTGGGGGAGAGCCTGGCGAGGCATCGTAATGTTCTGAGTTGGCAGCTTGCTCTAAGGTCAGCACCATCTGAATGGCCTCTTGCTTCAGCTGGTTCAGGTGTGTGGCACAAACATCGCATCTGTTGTCCTTCTCATTCCAAGCCTTACGAATGGTATTGGGAACTTGGAGCTTGTCATGAATCACCAATGAGAGACCTGGATCCTAAAAAAATCAAAACAGAGAAAGGGGAGGGGGTGACAGGAGACAAATGTTTAACCATGGTGACCACAGTGAAACATTATTACTGCTGATCGTGTATTTCAAAAGCCAATTTATGAGATACGCTCAGAATACAAACAAAAGCCATTAGACACAGTCAACATATGCCAGCAGCAGAGCTGAACAAAAAATGAGAAACTAGATTGTGTAACAAAGAAAAAAATTCTTTTACTTTTACTGATAAGTGGCAAATATTATAATTCCACTGCAAGCTTCAATGCATGGCAGAGAGAATGAATTAACCTGCTTCACACCACTGCACCTAATTTCTGGCTTGAATGAAATCTACTCTTAGTTACACAGGTGAGCTCAAGAGCAACTTCACTAAAGCCAGCAGGCTTGTAGCAAAGTTCACAAATTCATCTACTCATCAATGCCAGCTTTGAGTACTCAAAAAATCCAAGAAACACTCTGCAACAAAAATGTAACTTTCAAAGCCTGTCTGTAAAGAGAAAAAAAATATGAAAAAACAGAAGTATCATCACTCTCCCAAAATCCTTTTCAGAATTCAAAACAGATGGATATTTGATAACATTTTCAAATACTTTTTTCAGCATTTAATTTACCAAGAACACAGTTTTCAGCCAGAAAGAAAAAAATAAACCAACATTTTTCTGTTAATTAAATATTCTACCACTCTTCTGGGTATCTACTGAAATGGTAAAATAAATAATTTTATTTAGAAAAGTAAAACACATAACGTCAATGATTTGTAAATAATAATTTTCTTCCTGGAAAGCATAGTTTTGTTGTAAAGCCATGTGATTGGGTTTAAAACCGCCCGCCTTATATCCTTACCTCATGGGTAGATCTTCGAATGTCAGTGCTGCTCTCCACAGAGCCATATGCCACCCTGATCTGACTGCCATCACTGAATGCCAGTCTAAACTGCAAAGTGCTTCAGCAGGTTGTGAAGCCAAACAGGAAATCTTAGCAACAGCTTATCCCCAAACTTGCCTAGTTCTTACAGCATCGTGCAATTTTAGAAATGCACAACGATAATGTGCATGTTACACAGAGCAAACAATGACAGTTATATGATGGAAATGTTTCTTGGCAATTTCACACCACATTTTTGTGGTTTAACAGACAAGGTAGGGCAGAATTCATCTTCCCCTCCTTAGGTTTTGGAGACTTATTAGTGGATTTTCTTATGACTACTCAAAACATTTACAACAAATAGCATTGAATTTTTTTTTTGTTTTTTTGGTTTCTTTTCACATCTTTGTGGCTTTATCAGCTTTAGTAGCAAACTAAAATCAGAGTGGAACAGTGCAAGGGGCGGGGGGGGCGGAAAGGGGTGTGGAAGTCACACAAACAGATATCACCCTTAACAAGCAATTTGATTAACCCCATGCCATCTAAGACAGACAAGTTTCATGTCTTGATAATTTGGCTGTGCTAGGAAAGATATTGGAGGGAGGAAGAAAATTCACTGGTAGAGGGTCATATTCATTTTGTTCACTCTTTATTATATACTGAAGCATTTTATTTTCACTGTTTAACTACCATGAACAGCTCCTCAGCATGCAGTGATTAATTGATTCATAAATCATGGTGCCTCTTTATGCACAGCAGCAAAAGAGCAGTTCTAGCCCCAGAAGCCCAAGAGAGTCATATAAGCTGATGGGAAACAACAGGAGGCTGAGATCTGATCAAGTCTCAAGCTGGTCATTTCTATTCTATGCATAAAAGGGGTCAGAGCATCAAAGTGTGTCAGGAAGGCAGGAACTGGATTCTGCACTAACTCTTCCCCCCTTAACCTTCAAGAAAGGGACTAGTGGAAATCAGGGGGAAAAAACAGGATGCAAAAGATGTCAAATCTTATTCTCCATCTCAGACCATAACTAGGTCAACAGATCACATCAGATATAGGCAGCCCATCCATGATGCCAGGTATACAGGGAAAGGACTCTCTACTTTCCCCATAATGAGCTACACAAAGCTACATATACAGCTGAAGTGAGATGTGAGTCTTCTTTCCAGGCTGCTCCACATCAGTTGAGGAAAAATCCTTGCCAGCTCTTCCTTCAGCTAGCTAGTGCCACAGAGCTAGTTATTGTTCTTTGAATGTTAACTTTCCTTAGGCAACTGGGCTTGAACCCAGGTAATTATATACAACATTCAGATCCAGCAGCAGTTCAACATGGAAATTCCTGGATACTATGATAAATATTCTAAGGAAATAAAGCTTTCTCCAAAGTAAGCAAATGTCAGTGTGATATAAATATTCAAGTAGCACACCAACTTTAAAGAGTGCTGGACAGCAGTGAATTCAGCTTCATCTCAGTGTTAAAACAAACATCAGATCATTTGCTGATAAAACAATAAACAGAGAGACAGAGGAGAAAGGGAATAAGGAAGACTGTTCCTCCTCAGAAGCAGAAAGAAGCAAAACAGGCACAACCTGAATTGATTACTCCCAAGATTGCCCCTACTAATCTATCAGACTACTAGATGTATAGCTCAAGACTGGATCCGAGTCTGGAATATGAAACAGAAAAGCCTACAGGCCGGCAAATAAATTTGGAGAAACTCAGGTTCCAGAAACACATTAGTCACATTTTGTTCTCGAAACAAAACTGATAGAGCCTAAAGGAGAGTTTAGGTTCTGACTCTGCACTGGGCATCTCAACTATAGTATCACAGAAGAATCAGCTGACAGGCTTGCAACACATTTAGCAGGAAGGAGGCCAAAAGCTGACAGTCACTACGCCCTTGCTTGCATAGTAGGGCAACGCAACTACATTACACTTTCTGGTTCAGTATTTCATCTGAAAGCAATCATCCACACACAGTTCCCTAGGAATGCTTATTATTAGTTAAATAAACACTATCTTATCCCAAAGGCATATGATAGTGTCTTGTCCCACATGAAATAATGATGGACAAGCCTCCCTGGGAGAAGCGCTTTGAACTAGCTGTACTAAGCAGCAGGAGTTGGAGAGGTGATACTCGCTACCAAAACTTGTGAAGTCTAAGAAACTCCGTGCTCCCTGGCATGACAGCAGATTTGCTTGTGAAATCAGAGGTTGACACTGGAAATACCATTTATATTTTGGCACTCATTTCCAGTCCTGACAAAACAAAGTACAGTGACACTGAAAACTGAATCAGAACTTTAGAAATCACAAGAGTTTGGTTTGAGTTCAGGGCAAAGGTTTATGATTGTTTCTCTTATTACTGTAATGGTTCACCCATTTTTAATATAAACAGCATTACTATAAACTCCTATTCCTATAATAAACAAATGAAGGCTTGTAAGAGGTCTGAAAGCATCAGATCAGTCACAACATAGACCATAGTATAAATGCACAAGGCAAGCTGTGAACTAACCCAAGTGCACACTGAGCTTTGTTGCAAGGCGCCTTTTCACATTACCTTTGAGTTTTCAAGCTCAAGTAAACACCAATTCCAGCTATGTTTAGTTTTTCATCCTCTCCACTGTAACCAGCTAGTAATTAATCCCTTTATTTTGGTCCTGGACTAAAAACCCACATGGGAAAGACATAAAAGTTAAGGAAGTTTGGCTTTCTAGAGATCCATCATAGGCAGGTATGCTGAGGAATTCTTGCTTTACCTGGTGAAAATGTAGCCAGCAAACAGGCACTAGTTAAGAAGTGCTGAAGAACACGGACACCTGAATGAAGCTAAATGCAGTCCTCACCTCGTGGAGGAGGAGGAATAACATTACTATATGATCATGTAAGATAATGCAGAAGCATCCTCCTCTCTTTCATCTCCCTTTGTAAACCTGAACTTTGCTGTGTAGTTTTCATAATATTTTAACACCCCTAAGTAAACAGACTAACGAGGGAATAATCCTTTCCTTCCTGCTACCCAGCTTGGTGCCCATCTTCCTTAACAGAGAAAGTAAACAACCTATTGCAGCATGAAGCAGTGTTTCACACAGGTATTTACACAAAGCGCACAAGAACACTTGATGAAGCAGACAGAACTCAACCGGTGGGCAAGAAATGGGAAGAGCAATTTGCACTTTTATATGTTACATGCAACCTAGTTGATCACAAATTCATATACAAATACCTCATGCACAAACTACTTGTTTGCAAACTTTTAGCAGGCAGATGCTATTATAGGACATACTCTCTAAGATTTAGTGCACAATTGCATTTGATATGGTCAACTATAGCCTACACGAGTTAGGCATTATAACCTTATGTTATTACCTCAGAGAAAACTCAACTACACATTGGATCTCAAGAATTTCTTATGAAATTGTGTAGTTCTACGCCACTGCTTTTCCGGGAAAAACAAAGCAGTCAATACTAACTAAATCACAGAGGTCAGCTTCTGCTCAAAGATGCTTACAGAAGACTCACGGAGTTCTTTTGTTTCTGAAGGGGTCCAGGCAGAAATCACAGCTGGTATGTAATCCATCACATAAGGTGAGGGGAGAAGTAGCAAAAAGAAACGACCAAAGTTCTGCCGGGGAAGAAGTGTGTTTTCCAGACTCTCACAGGCAGGGAATAAAAGAACTAATTAAGAAACATTGGCAGGAGGGGAAGCCTTACCCCTGATGAAAAACATATGTTTTTCCATGACTGTGCAAACATCTCTGCTCTAAACATAATCCCATTAGTCCATGGTTGGTCTCTATTTAGAAAAAAAATGAAAATCTCTTCTGTTCTCCTTTCTCTCTTGAGGGTGTATTTCCAGCCCAACAAAGAGATTATACTTGTAAATTTACTTTCCAGAGGCACTTGGGCTATTTTCCAAGTGACTCTGCATCCTAACTTAAACATATCCTATCATCTTCTAGACTACATTTCAGAGATTTGATGTTTTCAGCATTCCAGAATCCCAACAGTTGAAAAATAGCTCCTCACTGTTACGATAGCATCCTTTCTGTTAAAGCAAAAGTATGTTCAAATAAACCAAAGTCAGTGGGAGTTTTTCCTCAGATAAGCATGACAGGAGACATGCTATGACTGTAAGTTAGTATCACTGTATCATCGAACTGAACTGGGAACCCTTGGATAAAAATCAGGTAGCTTTGCTAAGTAAAGACTGAACCATCTGAATTATCTAAGGTGGCAGCATCTCCTCTAGCACAAGCAGTGTTTAGGTAAGTAGAAGCCAAAGCTGCACATGAGCAAGACCAAGGGAGCAGCGAGGCAGCCCCCTTTTTTCTATTGCTCTGTACATAACAGCTGACACCTTCTCTGGGCAAGACCACACTGCTTCCCCTCTCTCTGTCACAGAGTTCCCTCACACTAACATTTCTTCATATAAGCCATCCATTATCACTCCTACCTGAGCAAATGAAACTATCTCCTTTGCTAGAAGAGGAGCATGTATTTCCATCCTGCCCTTCTAAAACTCTCTCCTGTCCCAAGCAGGAGTGTGTCATGTATGTTTTACTCCTCCCCCCTCCCCCCAAAGCACTGTTACTACATGTTGGGGAGAGAAGAGAGGAGGCAATCCTGGACTGGAGAGCTGTAAGTAGGGAACCTGGGCAAAAGGAGAGGTCATAAGGAAAACATAGTGGAATAAGAAAGAGGCTTTTTACAAGAGGCTGTTTCCAGCAAGCCCTAGTAAAAAGACTGTCTTATCAACTGCAACAAAACACTCTACAGTGTTATCATATTCCCATCTCTTTAACTATTACCATTTTCATCCCTCACATTTGAAAAAAATGCTTTCTGGTATTGACTTTAGCTTTCATGAGTGTTCCCTGTCCTACAGTCAGTATCTCCAGAATGTGTCTGGGGACTATTCTTTTCAGGGAGGGGGGGAGCAAAAGGAAAAATCAAATATTAATCTTGTGTGGTGTAGCCCTCACAACGTTACTATTTTCAAGGTGTTTTTCTCAAGCTGGCACATACTACTGACATTTGGACTTTTTTTTAATACAACATATGTCAGTATAAGCCAGCCACTTTGCAGCTAGAAAGACATGCTGCTTTGGTGCAGGCTCTCTGTTTTCTTATCTGAAACAGACAGTCTGAGCAAGGCTCACCTTAAAAACTGACAGCAGTGGGAAACAGAAGAAAGAAAACTCTGAAAAAAAATAGGATTAAAAATGGGGAGGAGAGACAGAAGAAGGGGAAGAACAAAAAGTGTTTTCTAATTGCTCCATGGATTGGTTTATGGCTCTGATGGATCAGCAGTGACGGACTTAAAGTTGTACACATCTGGCACACAGGTGTTTGTGTTACCATTTGATAGCTAGACAGCAGCCAGATTTTTAATTGGGTTGGGAAGAAGAGATGAAATAGCAGCAGGAAAATCTAAATATACATTCAGTGGTACAAATCCAAGCCTTGTCTAATGAGCTTTCCTATGCAGTTGTCTAGGAGCTCTGCAGCCCAGACAAAATCTGTGGCCACAGCACACCTAGGGTATCCTGGAGGGAAGCTTACAGCTCTGGGATAGAAAAACTCAGCTGTTGCCAAAAGGGGCAGAATGCGTCAGTATCCCTTCTATAGCACAAAAAATAGAATCAAACTCTGAGTTGCAAAAGCTTCATGTGCTAGAAAAAGCAGCAGCTCCGTTCTCTCCTCCTTGCTGTACATTTTCCTGCCTGAACACTGAAGGATTGCATTTGCTTTCTTAGCCACCAGAGCACACTATGAGCTTGTGTTCAACTGACTGTTCACCTTGACCCTCAGGCACTTTTCTGCATCACTGCCATACGCAGTCTTGCCATGCATGCAATCCAGATGTATCACAGATGCATTTTCACTCATGTTTCTAGTCACCTCACAGAACTCGCTTGCGATTGCTGCCTCTTCATTCTACTGGGGGCTGGCTACAAATTTGACCTAGTTATTGTTAGAATCAGATGCTTTCAAGAATTCACAAATCGTTAGCTCTACCAATGAAATGTTTCATCTCACTTCTCATCAGAGTGGCAAATATGATACCTTTTCTTCATAAAATCCTTCTGATTGCCATTCATAAAGACATTGCTCTTAATTGCTGATATCCTCTTACCCACCCTTTCAAACTCCTCAAGGATAAGCAAGAAGCATGACTGACCTGTGACTACACAGGCCAGACCTGTTAAAATACTGAAATAACATTAGTCTTTCTTTGATCCTTTCAAATTTCATCATTATTGCAAGCTTTCATAAACATCAAATCAACACATCACTTGAACCTCTTTGAGCAACTAGGCTATAGCAGCAATTACCACTCTGACACACCTCCACATTTTCAAAGTTTAGCTTGCTTTTCCTGTGAGAAGAGCATTACAGTTCTTTGAAGAATGCCAGTACTGAGCTACTATTAACACTGTAACCAGTGGTTTCTCAAACAGCTGTTATACCTGAAGAATGGTAACTAAATATTCCAAGTGTGAAGGTCGGACAGTATTTGTGACACCTATATACATACTGTTCTTCTGAGTTATAAGGGGGAGTTTTAGCAAGATGACACTTCTTATAACTGTTTTACAAACGTGAGAATTGCATCCCTTTTTAGATGAACAATCAGTAGAAAAAATGAGATTTTTATTTCATAACAGTATTCTCAAGAAATCTGTTCAGTATATAGCATTTTTTATCAGATCTGTTCAGCTTCAGCACATCTACAATTCACGTGCATCAGAACCAAAAATTGGCTATCCTATTTGGCTTACTTCTCTATCCTGTTTGGTTTAACTATTTCTGCATACTTACTAATCATAAAATGGCCTAAGCTCAAGGGACCTTAGAGATCATTTTAATCCAGCCTCCCTGCCGCCAGGGATGCCACCTCTCGACTAGATCAGGCAACACATGGGGACTGAACGGGAATCGAACCCACGACCCTAGCACTGTTAGCGCTACACTCAACTGACTGATCATATAATTCTAATCATATAATACATTAGCACCATTACATTGTATGCAAGATCACTGTTTTGTAGAAAAAAAATATCAGTAGATTGATAAAGGATATTAGTAGCCTTTACAATGGATAAGGAGCTTTGCCTTTGCATGTGCAATCCTCCTTTTTGTTTTGTTTTTTCTTGTTATGGGGTTTTGTGTTTGGTTGGTTGTGGGGTTTTGGGGGGGAAGCGTTGTTTGTTTGTGGATTTTTGGTGTGTGTTTTTTTATTCACTCAACTTCTGGAAACAATTCTGCCAATTTCTCCACACTGAGGTACCAACCTGGTTCAGCAAAGCTACCTTTTGTTCACATGGGATACGCTCTCCTCAAGCAGCCCTCATGCAAGGTCTTTTCTGCTGACATCTGTCTTTCTGATTACTGTCCTTCTCAACTTGAATGGAGAGGAGTTGGGAAGGTAAAGGATATGGATTGACTAGATTAGAGCATTGCAAGCTTTAGTACAGCACTAATTATTGTAAGTTAAAACCTGGAGAGTTTTACTGCAGTTTAACAAAACTATTTGAATCTCACACTTTAGCTTTTTTCATGTCCTTTAATATGAAAACACCAGGCAACATAAGTAATCTTAATCTCTGCAAAAATGCAAGTAAAAGTAAAATCTTGCCCATTTTATTTAAATCACACGGAACTTATCTGTGTGCCATCTAAGAAACAGAGAAATAATTTTCTTTCTAACCACTGGGAAAGTATATTGCAAAGACAATAGTCACTTCACAGTAACAGAAGTCTCTCCCATGCACATTCACAGTCAGAGGCATATGAAAAATTTAAATGTATTTGCCTCTTCTCTGTTTCCATTTTGCATTAGATAGATGATATTGTTAAAAACATGGGTGCAAGTATCCCCTCTGCACCAATTCTCAAGTCTTTGTACATGCAGAACATTCCAAGTTGCACACAAACTTGTTCTTATTATTCAGCAGCAGTTAAACCTCACACCAGCTTTTTATCCTGACTCAACTAAAGAATATGCAAAGCAACATCTGCAGAGTTGTTACGTGTCTTCCCTGGGAGCTATTTCCTTCATGTGAATGTGCCTAGAATCAAGCAAGTGGGCAGTGTGAAAGCTAGAGGGGTAGTTAAGACCATGGAGAAAAGTCTGATCACCGTGCAAGTTTGGTTGCAGGGGAAAAAGACAAAATACCTACTTGAAGCTCATGTTGTGAATTGGGGAGAGGCAAGGACAGGAGGAGACATGACGAAGGAGAGAAGTCAAGGCCATGATCTATGAAAAGAATATTTTTTTTCCAGCTAATTTCTGATCCAAGTAACTTGAAGGTCTATTGGTGGGGTCAGCAAAGATATGGAATTGCTGACCTAGAAGGAAAATCACATCTCTATTAGCATTGTATGTCATCCTGATGTCCCAAAAAACTTTATGCTGCATTTCAGTTGGACAGAACTTGTATGAGAGCATCCTGTAAGCAGCTCTGAGGTTTGACAGCACCTGTCTGAAACATCCTCCTTGACACATACCAGGCCTGCATAAAGCTGCTGCTTTAAATATTAGCCACATACCAGGTGCTGACAGTCACTCGCTCCACAGGCAGCTAATGTCCCCTGCTGTCTAGCCATACAGGCTCTCACAGTCTCACTTCGATCTGCTAAATCTTTCCCCCTCAGTAAAATTGACCTGTTATCATTTACCACCTCCTTCTCACTCCAAGCCATTCACCCACAAAACTGCCTGCTCTGCTTTCTCCTGCCTCAGGATTCTTCAAACTCCCATCATGACAGAGCTCAAACTACATTTCAGTGACTCATTCTCTTGGAAACCCCTTTTCTCCTCAGAGAGGGAAAAGTATCACCATCCACCATCCTGTTCCTTTCTTGCCAGCAATACAATGCCCATACTCCCTCGCCTGGTTTCTGAAGCCTTTTGCAGGCAAGCCTCAGGCTCACCAGGCTTATCAGGTACATGGGTCCCAAAGCCAGTAGATACCCTTTTGACCCTTCTCCTGCCCCTCAGCTGTGACATCCCACCTCACTCTGTGCACTAATTCCAACTTCAGGTTAATTGATACCATACTTAACACTTTGTATGTGCATAACTATTTTTATTAGCACTTAGTTTTGTTTTTGTTAATAAAGTGAACAGAGAAAAGAAAAATCCCAGAGCAATCCACTGAAATTTTTTTCTAACAGTTTTACATTAACTCAGGGTGTGTTACATTTGCTTATGAAAGCTCCTCAGCTTTGATGTAGTACCAGATAGCAACAAGATACAGTTTTGTACTTATAGCTGTTTCCATTTACATAGTTATATGCTTGTTAATGATCTAATTATCAAATTGTCTAATTACAGTTTTGCTTAATTTCTTTTGTGTGCATGGAATCACTTGTAATTACTGCCTGTGATTCCTGGAACCCCTAAAATGGATGTAACATATCAAAGACTTCTTTGGAAGTGAAATTTGTATATGTAAATACATTTCTCTCTCTAGAATTTTATCATTTCCAATGCCCCTCTATTCTACACATTTCTCATGTACAAAAGCATATATATATTGGTACCATTATGCCTGTACAAAAATATTGGACATATGAAAATAAAAATGCAATACAAAAGTTAAAATCTTTATCTTAGAGAGTGCTAAGTCCCATCAACCTCCACACAGTCAAGAAAAGAGTATTAGAGCAGCCCTGAAAGAGCATTTATTTCTCCCCATGTACAAGGCAGGAAGCAGGAGCACACCTCAGCTTTTCAGCTGGGAATAATTTCAGGAGCAAAGTTGTTTGCAAGTTTCCGCTCCAGTTATAAGATCAGCTTATGTTTGGTTAGCCTGGTATAAATATTTGGGGTATGCAAAGGGGAGGAAGAAGGAAAACAAAAATCCTGAAAAAGCTAATGAAAGTAAAAAGCATCTGCCAACTCTCAGTGGGAATGGAACTACACTGTCACAACTGTCTCACAGTATGAAGGTAAACTGCAGTACACAGGACACCTTTACTCCAGGCTAAGCTCTGTTCCTTGGGGCAGCTGCAGTGTTTAACTATGCCAACACAGCTCAAGTGCTAGAATGTGTGTTATGACAAGAAGCCAGCAATACAGCCATTTTCTTTTAAGTCTACTACAAACATACCTGCTAAATTTCATTTAACTGCGTCTGTGTGTGACTTTCCACGTGAACTATACACTAATTTCCATACTTCAGCATATGCTTCAGCTCCAATTCAGCAGACACTGCATCTGCTAGGGCAGGAATTGCACAGGATTTGGTATTCTGTGCCAAGGACAGGTGGCAGAGACTGGGTTTGAGGGCCTGGTGAGTGCAGAAAGATGTGTGGGAAAGATAAGAAGCTGTGGTCAGAATGGAAGATGTTGGACTGCTGAGTGTGGCTTTACATGAGAATAGAGCTCCAACTCCACTCACTGTGGCTTTTGCAGATGCCAAAGGACCTGTTTTTGGCAGCTCCTTTGCAAGGTGATCCAGAAGGCACCTACCACAGCAGCACTGACTCAGGCTGGCACAGCTGCGTGATGGAAGGCTGCTCTGAGGGAAGGTGCTGGCTTGGGTCCAGAGGCTGCTCTGTTCCTTGGCTGTCAGGCATCTGGTGATGTGGGTATAGCAGAAGGCTTCATAGATCTGAAGCCAACAGAAGTTAGTATAGAGTACAACATGATTATGTGGGCCTTGCTCAGCTCCCTGGAAATACTGCTGTATCTAAACACTTACAGCCAGCAACAAGCAACATCAAACATTTACCACTGCACTTCTCCAGACTGGTGAACGCTCTGTTTCAATACCTGTCTTTACAGTTAGATTTTTTACATTAGGGAAGCTTTGGAGTACAGCTAACAACAACTTTCATTGTTGTTACCTATTAAAACAGAACTTCGCAAACTCAGCGCTATTTGAAGTACTCACACTGTGCAATCCCAAGCTGTCACAGCCTCCACAGCCTATATCTCACCCTCCACACCCTCACAGAATCCCAAACAATTGAAAAGGTGGAGGATGCAGCAGAGCTCAGTTAGAAAGCCTTCTCACCAAGGTCTCAATGGAAGCACTCAGAGCTGAAGGAAGCCAAGAGCTCCCCTCCCCATATCCATTCAATGCAAACAGAAGCATCAAGCTCTTGCTGTGCGACCGCAGGGGACAGGCACATAATGAGCCCTTATTGCCAAACGGCACGGTGTTGCTGGCCCCCCATGACACTGATCTACAAGTGTGGGCTAAAAAACATGCCTCCCCCAATCACACCACAGCTCACATTCTGTCCTGAATAAGCTGACTGCTGACAAGCCCAAGAGGGGATCAGCCTCTTGACTTGTGTGGTCTGATGAAGGCTAAGATTACAAATCTTTTTCCAAATAGTCCCCAAGCAAGCCATGTAAAAAAAAAAAAAAAGAAAAGAAAAGAAAAAAAAAAGGTAGAAAAAGAAAATGCTTCCGGTAGAGCTTTGTAACATTAGCCAGCCTCAAACCAAAATACTATATTCCTCAGGTTACAGTGTCAGCTGGAAAGCTCTCTAACCAGAGGGGAGGAGAATGGATTTTCAACCTTTGTGAAGATTAGAGACACTGATCATGAATTCAGACTAATACAGGGCTCCTTGTGTACCCACTCACAGGATAATCAGTAGGGAAATTGGAATGGCATCTGATGGCTGTTAGTTCTAGAGGTAGTCACTGCCACTATAGCACTGCTTTTGAAATACACTGAATAAGTCTACCCACCCTCTCTGTCTATGCAAGGGCACCTTCTGCAATTGATCTATAGAGCAATGCAGTGGCCTCTTAAAACACTTTGTAAGAATTTCAGCAACCACTGACTAAGTAAACATGTTATAAAATCTACAGATCCACATAATTTATGCAACCTGAAAAAAACACTACTTTTATTATTTATTGACAGGCAATCTAATATCTGTATTTAGAGTGAAAAAAAAAAAGTCTCATCATCCTGGAAAGACACTTGAAGGAAAACAGTGCAGGGAAGTGGAAAACAAGGAGTTGTTATTGTACTGGCTTAAATTTATTTTTGTCTGAATAACTGAAAGCTACATATTCAGAAAGAAAGGAGTAAAATAATCAAACCTCAGTTGTGAGACAGAAACCTCTCCTACTACTGTATTACTTTATTTTTCTTAGTTTAATTTCCAGAGTTTGGGTCTAATTAAATTTAATATTAGTCTCCATCTCATGCATATCTCTACTTTGGATTCACACAGACTCAGACAGTTCCTGTAGAGAATTCTTTGCTCTTCTCTGAAGCAGATTGGGCATAGGCTGAGGACCCACAGTGTCTTAGAATTAGCACCAAACCTCATTATTTCTAACCCTGTAGCAGAAGAGCCACACTGAGATGTAAACAGAGTGAGAGTTGGAGGGCAGAAGGAGTCTGAGTAGATCATCAGGTGCCACTGTAGTTTCAGGCTAGATTCACAAAACATGGCAATATGAAGCACTGTGCTTGTTCTTTGCAGCCAGCTCCCATAGCAGTATCTGGAAGTCGGACCTCGATGCCTGCAGCCCTTTGATAAATTTTGAGGAGCAACATGGACACCTGAGCAGCAACATTAGGCAGGAGAACCACATAACCCCACAAAGAAAAAGCTGATACTCATGAGGTTGTGTATCACAGATATAAACTCCCAGAGACATGTTCTGCCAGGATCCTCCCCATTAGATCCTCCTTCTCATCAGATCCTCCCCAACTGCTAAGGCAGCTGCACCATTCTCTCTGCACAGCCAAAAGGCTGCACTCTCTTAGGCCAACAGCACCTGGCAGAGAAGCCTTCTGGGATTTAAGACCTTCATCTTCTCAGAAGCTGCACTATCTAGCTTAATACATAACAAGAAAAGAGACTATCCATTCTTCACACAGAAGGTATGCTGCTGAGCAGCTATCACAGTGTTACTTGTGGACTCAAAGTCCAGTTCACCAGAAGCATATGTGCACAGGGGAGTTTTGGCGAGATGAAGTCGGTGCTGCCACTGCTTCTCCATCTCCACACAGCTGAGGTTAGGCAGCTCCCAAGGCATAAGGCAAGTATGAAGGCTGCAATAGGAAAAGCGGGGAAAGCTGTAAAGCTGGGAGCTGATGAGAGAAACAGCTCTCTGGATGCTTTGATGGTGTAACCTTAATCTACTAGTCTGACAGAAACTCATCTTAACTGTTGAGGACAGTAGTCTGAGCAAGGAACCCAGTTTTCTCCAGGCCTTGCTGGACACTATAATGTATAAGCTGTCTTATGTTATTGGCTGCTTAATGCAGCAACATCACCAGTCAGAAGGACAAGTCCCCCTTTTGGCACAGGAGTGTCATTTACTTGGCTCTTGCCATGCACCTCAGAATATGACTAATCTTTCACTGGAAATTATCAGTCATCATGGATCATGAGCATAACTAAAGACAAGAACCTGAATTCAGTTGACTTAATACCTCCAAGACTAGACTTCCAAATCAGAGATTGCCACCTTATACAGCTTCTTGAAATTCACTATTACTACCTCTCAAATTGAGGCTTAGCTTTAAATATTCCATGTGTTAAATTAGAAAAGATAAATCATTTTCAAAGATCACATGGGCTTTGTTACGCTGCAGAAAATGACAAAAGAAAAAAAAGCCAACAAGTAATCATAATACTAAAAAAAAATTTAAAGAAGTATGGAACAGACTCTTCATTGTCAGTCCTTCTGCTTAGGACCTGGGCAAAAGACAGAC